TCAAGGTTGGCTCACTCCTGGCTCCAATTAGCTCTAGGAGAAGTCATTAAGCTAGGGCCTCACATACTTTTTCCTCCCTGCACTGTGAATGTTTACATGTTATGTGCAATTAAACCATGGCAACATCTAATGTTTCTGTAGTATTATGTTCAGCAGACTGTGTTCTTCTATTGTTGTGACTTAGATGACATTCAGAGCACATTGTATGCCCAATTCATGCAAAACTCCACGTAATCCCAAGGGGTTCACATACTTTTTCTTGCAACTGTACCTACTTCTAGGTGTTGTCATTACTGTTCAAAAATACTTGGTCAATTCTGCATTTTATTTTCTTTTTCGTCTTTCCTACATACAGTTGTGTCCAAAATTATTCAACCCCCAATGCTGTAAAGGGGTTTAGGGACTATAGTGTACATTTGGAATTGTATTCAGAATCAAATCCTACAAGGACGTTGTAACTACCCAAATGCAACTAAAATGACATCAATTGTTTATGTAATACAGTAGTAAATGGTTCTTATGTGGTTTCTTCATTGCCACAATTATTCAACCCCTTAAAGACTACCACTCTGAAGAACAGAGGTTCATACAGGTGCTTTCCATCAGGTATTGAAAACACCTGTGGATGTCACCGAGCAGCAATCAAGCATAATAAGCACCAATTAGGCAGCTTTAAAATGACTGTGATACTCAGCTCCTTCTAGACATTTACTGGTGTGGTTACAAACATGGTGAAGGCAAGAGAATGGTCCAGGAAGACAAGAGAAGAGGTGATTTCTCTTCACAGGAAGGGCAATGGCTATAAGAAGATTGCAAAGATGTTAAACATACCAAGAGACACCTTAGGAAGCATCATTCGCAAATTCAAGGCAAAGGGCACTGTTGAAACGCTACCTGGTCGTGGCAGAAAGAAGATGCTGACTTCGACTGCTGTGCGCTACCTGAAGCGTAGAGTGGAGAGAAGTCCCCGTGTGACTGCTGAGGAACTGAGAAAAGATTTGTCAGATGTGGGTACAGAAGTTTCAGCCCAGACAATAAGACGCACACTGCGTAATGAAGGCCTCCGTGCCAGAACTCCCAGGCGTACCCCCTTGCTGTCTCCAAAGAATAAGAAGAGTCGACTGCAGTATGCCAAAAGCCATGTGGACAAACCACAAAAGTTGTGGGATAGTGTTCTGTGTGACTGATGAAACAAAATTAGAACTGTTTGGGCCCATGGATCAACGCTATGTTTGGAGGAGGAAGAACAAGGCCTATGATGAAAAGAACACCTTGCCTACTGTGAAGCATGGTGGAGGGTCAATCATGCTTTGGGGCTGTTTTGCTTCTGCAGGTACAGGGAAGCTTCAGCGTGTGCAAGGTACCATGAATTCTCTTCAGTACCAGGAGATATTGGATGGAAACGTGATGCAGTCCGTCACACACCTGAGGCTTGGGAGACGTTGGACCTTTCAACAGGACAATGATCCCAAGCATACCTCCAAGTCCACTAGAGCATGGTTGCAGAGGAAAGGCTGGAACATTTTGGAGTGGCCATCGCAGTCACCAGACTTAAATCCGATTGAGAACCTCTGGTGGGACTTAAAGAAAGCAGTTGCAGTGCGCAAGCCTAAGAATGTGACTGAACTGGAGGCCTTTGCCCATGAAGAATGGGCGAAGATACCCGTAGATCGCTGCAAGACACTTGTGTCAAGCTATGCTTCACGTTTAAAAGCTGTTATAACTGTAAAAGGATGCTGTACTAAGTACTAAGATTGAATGTCACTTGGGGGTTGAATAAAACTGATAATGCTGTGAGCACAGAAAAGACATTTGTGGTTATTTCATTATAACTGTTATGTTATATTTGTCTGACCTACAAGTGCCTCTTTAATGTAAATGTAAGCAAGATGACTGAATGATCAAAAGCAATGTCAAACTGGCCAAAACACTCAATTTCAGTGGGGGTTGAATAATTTTGGACACAACTGTAGGAAGCTCCACTGAAGCAGGTCATAAGATAGACAACCCCAATTGTATCACAGTCCACATAATGCCTAGTTTGGTATGGGTTTGTATTAGGTAGCTTGATTACAGTTACTTCTTTGATCCATGTGCATTGTGTGTCAACAAATATGTCAGATAATATCCTGAAGTGTACAGACACTCTTAATCTATCAGGGATATGGTGACACAAAGTTACTATACAGTATGGGTACTGATAGAGAACTGTATGGAGAAATAGGAACTTTCAGATGTGGAAGATGCTCACAATACCAATGGCTGTTTGACCAGTAATGGAACATTTACAAACCTATCAGTATGCATGATGGTTTGGGGGGGGGGGGTATACTTTAATAAGAGTGCTTCAATGTAAGGCAAGATGGATTCAGAACCTGAGGGCAACAGTCCCCCTTGGTTTGCAAGATATGCTGAGTTTTAGGTCTTTTCTATGAACTAAAAAAAACTCAAGGGAATTGCCCCCTCCCCTTCTACATGTTTCCCTCTACACCTGGTTTAATCAGATAGATCAGTAGTAATATATTCTAATCCAGGCCACATCCTTTCAATGGATAGCACCGATAGGACTATGTTTATAGATGTACTTGGTATTGGTTACAATATAGAGAGGATAAAGAAGACTATGGTATAGCCCGGGTGTCGGCAACCCGCGGCTCCAGAGCCGCATGCGGCTCTTTTTCACCTTTGCTGCGGCTCCGGAGCACACTGCCCACCAGGTGACAGGCAATAGGGTTGCCGTAGCTCAGTGGTTGGCAAGCCGCAGCTCTTTACACATTTTAATGCGGCTCTTCTGTGTGCCGGGCACCCGCTCCCCTCCCTCCTCTCGGGCGGCCGCCCCAAAAGTCAGGACTCTGCAGCTAGCCCAGCAATGGGCAAACTACGGCCCGGCGGACCTTTTAATCCGGCCCGCGGAGCGTGGCAAACATTGGCTGTCAGGATGTAGGCGGGGCAGCGTGACGAACTCCTCTCACAGTCCGCCCTGAAGACCGGAACGGCGTGGGAACACGGCGAGAGGAACGCGCGGAGCAAAGGTAAGTGAATTGACACAATATGGGGAATGAATTACTATGGGGGGATGAATTACTATAGGGGGGATGAATTACTATATGGGGGATGAATTACTATGGGGGATGAATTACTATATGGGGGATGAATTACTATGGGGGATGAATTACTATGGGGGATGAATTACTATGGGGGATGAATTACTATATGGGGGATGAATTACTATGGGGGATGAATTACTATGGGGGATGAATTACTATGGGGGATGAATTACTATATGGGGGATGAATTACTATGGGGGATGAATTACTATATGGGGGATGAATTACTATATGGGGGATGAATTACTATATGGGGGATTAATTACTATGGGGGATGAATTACTATGGGGGATGAATTACTATATGGGGGATGAATTACTATATGGGGGATGAATTACTATGGGGGATGAATTACTATATGGGGGATGAATTACTATATGGGGGATGAATTACTATGGGGGATGAATTACTATATGGGGGATGTATTTTCAGTTTTAAAAATGTGGCTCTCAAAATAAATTTCAATCGTGGTTTTGGCAAGATTTGGCTCAGTTGAAAAAAAAGGTTGCCCACCACTGACCTAAGGCTATGATTGTGATTATGACGATACACTGTGGCCCTGATTAACCCTTTGCTTACTGGGCCCTTAAACCCCTTCATGACCAGAGCGCTTTTTGCAATATATGCAGTGTCGGATTTGTTTTAAATGTTGCAATGGTTTTGCGGCTCCCAGTCTTTTTTTCCCTTCGGAAATGGGTCCAAGTGGCTCTTTATGTCTTAAAGGTTGCAGACCCCTGGTATAGCCTTTAATTATATATGCACTGAATGTAAGTCTTGCTGTTGCTATTTTGTCGCAACATACATCTGTACATAAGAACATAGCATAACTGCATTTAACTGACAGTTTGAACGTATTGTAAAATGTATGGACCTTTATTAGCAGTAAAGTAATATCTGGTGGGCAGTGTCCTGGGGATGTAGATACTTCAGGCTGGTCTATCCCCATTAATGTCTGGGCTCCCTCCCTGGATGCATCCATATGACCAGCTTGCACCTGTAGGGGATGAAGCCTGCCTTAGGTGGATCAGGTTTATCCCGCCCACCCACTTCTTGCTAACGGTGTCTCTGTAATTGCAAAGTTGGTTGGCCATACTGATATATGGGATATACTCCTTTGATGGCTGCTCTGATGTTCCATCTCAGTCCATTGGTGGACTCCATTGGGGCTATGCACACATGTGGAAGGAAGGAAAATTTCTCACCAATACCTCCCTTCTCATGTATACTTTGCTGTACAAGAGGTAGACCTTTCCAATTTGGGGTAAGTGGGTTAGTCAGCTAAATCAGTATTCTCTGATAGACTGGCTTTTGATTTCTAGAAATATTGAAGCCTGATATTTCTCGTTTAATATAGGAGCACATTTAGAAAATGGTCAGTTCTGTATATCTGGAGCAATAATACCTGTCCTTAAGATACGATACTCATTACATAAAGGGAGGGGGTGAATTAAAACCTGAGCTCCAACTTTAATACTGTGCTTTATCTTTCCCTAGCCCAATAGCTGACTCACAAGATATGACATTCCTTATGATTTTGCAAAGATCACTGAACATCTAAGCTATATAGGTGTGAGCAGTAATTATCAAAAAGATTTGGACAACATTCCTTATAAGATCTTGCGTAGTATGATATAGGAGCTTGTGGCTGTTTTTGGATGTTAAGGCCCTAGTGATTATTTTTGGTGTCCCTGTGCTCATCCTGCGATTCCTTTTATTTATTTATATATATATATATATATATATATATATATATATATATATATTTTATAAATATATATAAAAAGAAACACACACCATATTGCCAAAAGTATTGGGACACTACTTCAAATCATTGGATTCAGGTATTCCAGTCACCACCATGGCCACAGTTGTATAAAATCAAGCACCTAGGCATGCTTCTACAAACATTTGTGAAAGAGTCGGTCGTTCTCAGGAGCTCAGTGAATTCAAGCATGGTACCGTGATAGGTTGCCATCTGTGTCTATGCATGAAATTTCCTTGTTACTGAATTTTCCAAGGTCAACTGTTAGTGATATTATAACAAAGTGAAAGCAACTGGGGACAACAGCAACTCAGCCACGAAGTGGTAGGTCACATAAAATGACATAGATTGGTCAGTGCATGCTGAAGCGCACAGTGCGCAGATGTTGCCAACTGTCTGCAGAGTCAATAGCTAAAAACCTGCAAACTTTGTGTGGACTTCAGATTAGCACAACAAGTAGAGTTTCATGGAATGGGTTTCCATGGCCAAGCAGCTGCATTCAAGCCTTACATCACCAAGTGCACTGCAAACCATTGCATGCAGTGGTGTAAAGCATGCTGCCACTGGACTCTAGAGCAGTGGACATGTGTTCTCTGGAGTGATGAATCATGCGTCTCTGTCTGACATTCCGAAGGATGTGTCTGGGTTTGGCCGTAGCCAGGAGAATGATACTTGTTTGACTGCAGTGTTCCAAGTGTAAAGTTTGGTGGAGAGGGGATTATGGTGTTGGGTTATTCTTCAGGGGTTGGGCTTGGCCCCTTAGTTCCAGTGAAGGGAACTCTTAATGTGTCAGCATGCCAAGACATTTTAAACAATTTCATGCTCCCAACTTCGTGGGAACAATTTGGGGATGGTCCCTTCCTGTTCCAACATGAATGCGCACCACTGCACAAAGCAAGGTCCATAAAGACATGAATGAGCGAGTTTGGGGGGGGAGAAACTTGTCCACCTCAGAGTCCTGACCTCATTCTGATAGAACACCTTTGGGATGAATTAGAGTGGAGAATGCGAGCCAGGCCTTATCGTCCAACATCAATGCCTGATTATTGTACTTATATGCATTTTATGTTCTTTGTAGAATTTAGCCTCAATCCTACTCTTGAAGAGGAATTTAGTTTTGGGAAATGTGTCAAGAAAATTCTCCAGCCCTTTACCCATCCAGCAGAACAGCAATACATAGTATAGATTTGGCATGGTACTTTAAAAGTCCACATCTAAGCATCTTCCTAGTAGTAAATCAGAAACGATATGCCTATTATTGATGTCTCTCATCAGAATATGGGGAAAATTATATTTCCTTTTTTAAAATCATATATATATATATATATATATATATATATATATATATATATATACAGTCAGGTCCATAAATATTGGGACATCGACACAATTCTAACATTTTTGGCTCTATACACCACCACAATGGATTTGAAATTAAACAAACAAGATGTGCTTTAACTGCAGACTGTCAGCTTTAATTTGAGGGTATTTACATCCAAATCAGGTGAACGGTGTAGGAATTACAACAGTTTTCATATGTGCCTCCCACTTATTAAGGAACCAAAAGTAATGGGACAGAATAATAATCATAAATCAAGCTTTCACTTTTTAATACTTGGTTGCAAATCCTTTGCAGTCAATTACAGCCTAAATTCTGGAACGCATAGACATCACCAGATGCTGGGTTTCATCCCTGGTGATGCTCTGCCAGGCCTCTACTGCAACTGTCTTCAGTTCCTGCTTGTTCTTGGGGAATTTTCCCTTCAGTTTTGTCTTCAGCAAGTGAAATGCTCAATCGGATTCAGGTCAGGTGATTGACTTGGCCATTGCAGAACATTCCACTTTTTTCCCTTAAAAAACTCTTTGGTTGCTTTTGCAGTCTGCTTTGGGTCATTGTCCATCTGCACTGTGAAGCGGCGTCCAATGAGTTGTGAAGCATTTGGCTGAATATGAGCAGATAATATTGCCCGAAACACTTCAGAATTCATCCTACTGCTTTTGTCAGCAGTCACATCATCAATAAATACAAGAGAAGCAGTTCCATTGGCAGCCATACATGCCCACGCCATGACACTACCACCACCATGCTTCACTGATGAGGTGGTATGCTTAGGATCATGAGCAGTTCCTTTCCTTCTCCATACTCTTCTCTTCCCATCACTCTGGTACAAGTTGATCTTGGTCTCATCTGTCCATAGGATGTTGTTCCAGAACTGTGAATGCTTTTTTAGATGTCGTTTGGCAAACTCTAATCTGGCCTTCCTGTTTTTGAGGCTCACCAATGGTTTCCATCTTGTGGTGAACCCTCTGTATTCACTCTGGTGAAGTCTTCTCTTGATTATTGACTTTGACACACATACACCTACCTCCTGGAGAGTGTTCTTGATCTGGCCAACTGTTGTGAAGGGTGTTTTTCTTCACCAGGGAAAGAATTCTTTGGTCATCCATCACAGTTGTTTTCCGTGGTCTTCCGGGTCTTTTGGTGTTGCTGAGCTCACCGGTGCGTTCCTTCTTTTTAAGAATGTTCCAAACAGTTGTTTTGGCCACGCCTAATGTTTTTGCTATCTCTCTGATGGGTTTGTTTTGTTTTTTCAGCCTAATGATGGCTTGCTTCACTGATAGTGACAGCTCTTTGGATCTCATCTTGAGAATTGACAGCAACAGATTCCAAATGCAAATAGCACACTTGAAATGAACTCTGGACCTTTTATCTGCTCATTGTAATTGGGATAATGAGGAAATAACACACACCTGGCCATGGAACGGCTGAGAAGCCAATTGTCCCCATTACTTTTGGTCCCTTAATAAGTGGGAGGCACATATGCAAACTGTTGTAATCCCTACACCGTTCACACTGATTTGGATGTAAATACCCTCAAATTAAAGCTGACAGTCTGCAGTTAAAGCACATCTTGTTTGTTTCATTTCAAATCCATTGTGGTGGTGTATAGAGCCAAAAATGTTAGAATTGTGTCGATGTCCCAATATTTATGGACCTGACTGTATATATACTGTAAATATATAATATACTTTTTTTTGTTGTTTCAGTTAAGACCTGCCCATATCCTAACAGTACAGCGAAGACTTCCTTTATCCCTTTGAAAACCGAATACCAGTATGGTGACAAACTGAGGTACAGTTGTGGAGAAGGATATGAGCTCATTGGAGGATCTGAAAGTTCCTGCAATCATGAAGGGATAGATGGAGTCCAGATCTACCAACTTGCAGAGGTAAGTTGTAGATATTTTTGTGGAAATTGTTTTTATGGATTCGTCCTTATAATTTTCCATAATATATCCTATCATATACAGTAGTTCTATAAAAGCAAAGCTTTATTTGACACATGCAAAGCTGGCAATTTTAGATCACTGGGGGTGATTTGTTGACACTTGGAACATTCACAGTAGCCTTTTCCTCTCCTCTCCCATAATGCACAATCAAATACTTTCAGCAGTCATACAGGTAGAGGTCCTACTTGAAGTTTTCTGCCTTACAGCTCATCGCAGCTCTCTGTGGCTGTCTCACAGGTAAGCAACTCTCTGCATACTGCATCTTTAAACATGACTATTGCACCAGAGATAGGCTCGTCCCCACTTCCCCCCATTACCACCATTACCGTTCCACACCCAACCCCCTTCCCCCCTTAACCAATTATACTAACAAAAGACAGACACCAGTTTTGGAGTAAATGGCCAACATGGCCTTTTATTAACAACTCAAGTTACAATACACCAACCATTCCTTATAACAGAAACCCAAAGAACTGTTGTTGGGTCTTCGAAGGGCACCCCAAACGATCCGAAATGCACCTGTGGACAACCATATACACTAGGCCCCCAGCCGCAACCAACCAGCTTGGAGACAACCATACCATCCAGCAGTGCAGCACCACCACCTTCCAGTTATACCTTGGTTAACTGGGAATGTCCCCGGGCATCCCATACCATGGATGGGCCCCACACCATTGTTGTTTACCTTCCAAATAAGAAACCGCCTCCAAAGACCAACAACCGCCACAGCACGCTGGGTAAGCCCTTACCCATGCGTGCCACGCCACAAACGAACAATAGCCCGCTGTATGCCTGCAGCCCGCTGTATATCCTCTGCAGATCCAGGGACCACAAATCCGTCCCAACCGCATTCAAATGCACCCCATCACACCTGAGATACCGCTGCCAAGTATCCACCTCCAACTCCAAGTGCCGGACCACCAACCCCCCATGGTGACTAAAGAAACGCCCCAGCACCTCTCTGTTAACCTTGATCCGAGCCTTGTTGAGCCTCTCCACCGACCCGCGCCCCCAACGCCAAGAAGAGGTTCGGGCGACAATGTCGGACCACACCACCACCACCATCCCCGGATAAAGCCCGCCGCAACACTGAAGAAAGTCCAGCTTGACATCTCGCACCAACCAACTCCCGCATGGACCTAACCCCCAAATCATTGCCACCCACAGCCGATGAAGCACAAGAACATCTGGTGGTCTATCAAGCTGAGCAAAGCGCTGCACCTCGGGCACTACACGACCCCAGAAACATGCCCGGCACACCTATCCAACGGACACAGGCCTCCGGTCTAGCTAACCCCAGCTGCCTGCCATTGGGCCTCACATCAGCCCGCCTGGCCCCCCCAAAACACATAAGAGTGACCCAGGATCCAAACCAGGCACAACGCTCCATCTGAAAGAAAGAAAAGCAAAACAATAGAGCACAGAGAGAAGACCCAACACTACCCCCCATCGCCCAGGGACAAACAGACACCAGCCTCCCACTAGTCCCTCAACAGATGCGGACGAACGTACAAGCGAAATCTCTGGGAATCCCACCTACAAATGCGTTTCACCACATCATCCGACAACCCCCCACTGGGCAGCCTCCGTAGCAGCCCCTATCCGAAATGAATGCGAAGCATACAAAGACGCATCCAAACCTGCAGCTGTCAAACATCGTCGAAAAACTAACACAAATTGAAAATGCGTCAACGGCGACCCATCAGCATGCCTGAAAAAACAACCCCCGCCCCACTGGACGACGGGACAAAAAATTCCCGAACCGCCCTCACTGGGCACACCAACGAAGCCGGAAGAGCGAAAAAAAAAACGCACCCGAGCACCATGTCCCAATTGGTCCGTCTTAGACCGACGTACCATCACCTCCACCCATTCACCGGAGCACCTGACCTCATCCACCAATAACCCCCCAAGAACCAATTTGGACGGACTAACGAGCTCCCCTATACGCAACGCCCCAAAAAAGGCCACCGCAAAAGCCCGCCCGAAATAAGCACACCTCAAAGTCTGAAGAACAGACAGATCACAGATGCACAAACAAAGACCCCAACAACTCAAAGGACACCGGACGACGAGAATCCTTGTACAGCGATGAGCCCTCCGGTAACCCCGAAGAGCCTGCCGAACCCAAAAATCTTTAGTGAAATCCCGACACCCTTGCAACTTAAAGAAGAATGCCAAACCCGCCAGTCGGTGATCCACCGCAGCAGCCGACACCTCCCGCTCAAAATTCCGCGCCACAAAGTACAATACCGCCAAAACCACCTCCGGCCCCCAGGGATCA